ATACTCACTTTATAGGAGATTGGTTGGAACGCTACATCTCCTGCAGAGTGGACCGACAGCAATGGGAACATATGGCGCAAGTCCGACGATGCCTTTCCGGGTGACCCCGCTGACGTTACCCACGCGATAATGGAATCGCACCAACTGCAGCACTGGGCCAGAGCGTCTACCCACTGGCTAGGCAAGGGCTCCGAGCTGGGCATCGACACCTACGACCTCAAGAAGAAGCTGAACAATGTGAAGAAGCAGGGAAGGTACCACGAGGCTGGCACGCTCCAGGCTATCGCGTGTGCAGCCATGTGGACGCCAGACCGCAAGCATCAGATATTTGGCAATACTGACAACCACTGCGGTTGCGGTAGCATCGACGACGACCTCCACAGAGTATGGAGCACCTGCAGCCTTCGCCAGGACCACGATGACTACGACCGCACCGCGGCACTGCAGCACAGAGCAATCACAGGAAGTGAACACGTACCTTGCTTTTGGTTGAGAGGGCTGGTCCCACGGGAGTGGACGGTACCGCCTGACTGCGACACCGAGAACAGCCCCATCGACATTGGCAAGCCTTTCGAAGCCAACCGCATCTACACGGTCATCAGCACAGACGGCAGCGGCGGAGTGCACGCCCAAGATCCACGCTACCGGCGTTGCGGATGGGCCTGGGCTACACTCGCTCGCCAAGACAGACGACGGATGGCAAATGGAAACATCACAATACGGACCGCTACCTTGACGACGTCAGACCAACAACCGAGCTGAGTCCCACCAGCCCTTTGGGCGTGAGTGGTTTGGCGAGCTCTCTCTGTTCTCAACCCCCTAACCCCCTACTTCCCCTTCGGGGAGGGGTTTACCCCTCCCCCTACCCCCTCCCCCTGGACCTGGAGAGGGCGGGCCGAGTGTAGCCACTCGGGTCTTTTTCGACTCCTGGGAGGGCCAAAAAAACGACGACCCTCACGAGGATTCTGGCCCCCAAGGGGGGGGGGACCGTTTGGCGCCTCAGACCGTCTTGGAAGCAAAAAACATTGATTTTACTAGGGTTTTGGCCCCATTTTGGCCTCCTGAGGGGGCCGCGCTCCTCTTCCTTCATAGCAAAATCATTGATTTTACGAAGGTTTTGGCCTCATTTTGTCCTTCTCAGGGGGCAGCGGTCATTTACGCTTCTGAGGAGGTCGCAAGAGGCCCCAAGCTGGCCCCAAGAGGCCCCCAGGAGGCTCCCAAGAGGCCTCCAAGAGGCCCCCAAGAGGCCCCCAAGAGGCCCCCAAGAGGCCCCCAAGAGGCCCCCAAGAGGCCCCAAGACCCAAGAGGCCCCCAAGAGGCCCCCAAGAGGCCCCCAAGAGGCCCCCAAGAGGCCCCGAAGAGGCCCCAAGAGCCTCCAAGAGGCCCCCAAGAGGCCCCACGAGGAGCCCGAACGACTCACACCAGGACGAGGGGCCCGAACGACTCGCACCACGAAGAGCCCGAACGACTCACACCAGAAGGAGGGGCTCGAACGACTCACACCAGGACGAGGCGCCCGAACGACTCACACCACGAGGAGCCCGAACGACTCACACCACGAGGAGCCCGAACGACTCACACCACGACGAAGAGCCCGAACGACTCACACCACGAGGAGCCCGAACGAGTCACACCAGGAAGAAGGGCCCGAACGACTCACACCAGGACGAGAATCCCCAAACGACTCAAACCACGAGGAGCGCTTTCTCTCCCTCCTCCTCCGCCTCGTCCTTCTCCCGCTCCCCCCACAAGGAGGATGAACAAGGACGCGGGGGGAAGGAGGAACAGGGGAGATATGCGGGGCCAAGCGGACACACGCCTGAAAAACACGACTGTCGGCATGCTTCGCGAGAGTTGCTGCTGTGAGATGGGCTGGTGGGGACACGCGAAGCGTTAAGAATTATGGGCAATCGTCCAAGCGCTGCGATCAACTACGGGACGAGTACGCATATGGACTGACTCGGATGTGGCCATCAGAGGCTGGCAAAGGGCACACTACTCCAGACTCGGCCAGCAGCGCTCCAACCGCGACATCTGGGACTTCATGCACCGAGCGCTGCGCGAGCGCAGCCCAGAGCTCGACGACCCAGCCTCGATCGTCGAGCTTCGTCACGTCCCCAGCCACACGGTCGAGGAGGAGATGCACGCGATGGGCCTCGACGAGGAGGCCTGGTACGGCAATGCGGTAGCAGACGCCCTGGCTGAGCGGGACGCTCAGCTGCACTGCACCCCTCGCCAGCAGATGCGCATGTACGAGTGGGCCAGAGCGACCTCGGCCCTTGTTTGGAAACGCCTCCTCCGTGCCCATACATATGCTATCGCTCGAGACCCGAGGACCCAGATGCCCGAGAGGAAGGAGACCAAGGAGAGGAACAGGCTGAGAGTGAGTGAGATGAGCCAGGCTTTTCCCTCCTCCCCTCACTCCCTCCGCCCCTCCAATAGCAGATGACAATGTAGGCTTTGCAACGAGGCAATCAGCAAACATGCGGGGTCCCTGACCATCACACGGTGGCTCAGGATTTGTAAGCCCAAGGCCCCTGGGGCCCAAACGGTCCGAGGGGTCCTTGGCCCCCAGCAGGTCATCCAGATAGGAAATAGAGCTGTGCATCCTTCCCACACTATGGAATATGCCGATCACTGTTCCACCTGGTGGTGCACACTCTGTGGCCGAAGAGCCAAGGCCACAGACAGGGGTAGTGTGAAAGGGCTCTTCAACCCCTGTGGCCCTCCCACTAAGAATGGGAAGTGTGTTATTTCGCGCCTCTCCAAAGGCAAAGACCTCCCGCACTAGTTTCCTCGACCCCCAGGGTTTGCTGTTTCTCCTGGGGCCTCGAGTTTTGGTCTCGCCGCACCTGGGGCCCTTCGCTTCGGGTCCCGAGGCGGCGCTCGTCTCTTGGGCGAAACTCGACATCGTCGTCGCCGAATTCTCCGAATTCTCCTGCTCCTCCTCCTCCTCCTCCTCTCCTCCTCCTCCTCTCCTCCTCCTCCTCTCCTCCTCCTCCTCCTCCTCCTCCTCCACCCTTGTGGGCGCCGCCGCAAGAGTGGAGGCCTCCCAGGGGAGGTCCGAGCAAGTGTGCGACGTTCAAAAACGGGTCTTGCGCGAGATGGAACAGCGACCTTACGCGGCGGCTTGCGCGGGCCGCCAGCGCGGCACGCTACATTGGAGACAAGGGCGCTTACGCGCGACCTTACGCGGGCAGCTTACGCGCCAATGTCTGCGCAAACGACTCTGTGTTTTTGCATCGCTCAGGTCCGTGCGGAGGATCGCGCCGCACCGCCGACGCATCGGCGCCGTCGGCGTGGAGAACATCGGGCTCCACATCGAGCCACATGGCACATGCATCGGCGATGCGGCGCGATCCTCCGACCCCACCTGCTCGGACCCCGTGTGGGAGGCCTACGCAGCGCCGCTCCCCTGCGCGCCGCCAGCTCCTGCCGGGGACGCGCTGGCCCGGGGGTCGGCACAGGCCCCTGGACGGCCAGGGCCGCGCTTCGCGAAGCCTGGCCGGCCGCTCGGTAGCTCCCAAGCCCAGGTCGGCGGAGGGCGGACGGGGGGAAGCGGCCTCACGTGGCTCCCCAGACATACGATGTCTCCACTTCTACAGCGCGCCTTCGCTCGGACGTCCATTTCCTGTGCATTTTTCGGCCTCGTGCGTGTATTTTCTGCCAGGTGAGCAAGACTGATGGTTCTCGCCGAGGAAAAGGGCACACGTCCGAGCGATGCCAAGTCAATGCGGGGCTCTCGGAAATCCCGACCCTTTTCCCCAGGCCGGTGCTTCATCCCGAACTTTTTTTTGACGGTCCCAGGGCCCAGCGAGGGCCTCTAGAGCCCGACGAGTGCCAAACAAACTCCCGCCGTATTTTTTTTGTTGGACGACGTCATCATGTCTGGGCCCCAAGCCCGGGTCAGCCAGAGGGGATCGGCTGACCCCGGTTCGCGCTGACCCCCGTCGACGTGAGCCCCGACCTGCTGCTGCGGGCACTCTCCCCGCTCCCCCTGCTCCTCGCCGTTCTCTCCTCGCCCCTCCTCGTGCTGCTCCTACGCCTCCTCCTCCTCCTCCTCCTCCTCCTCCGCCTCCTCCTCGACCAACTCGTATAATATGGACGAACGATAAGGAATCAAGGGCCTTGGAAAGCCATGTCGACACTCTGCGAGCGGGGCGCGGCCAGCGAAAGCGGCCAAGAATGGGCCGAAGGGGAAGGATGCAAGAGCCTAGCAATTTGTTCATCCTTACTATGCGGGTTGCCTTTAGCTGGCCCTCCTCCTCCTCCTCCTCCTCCTCCTCCTCCACCTACTCCTGATCCTACTCCTACTCCTACTCCTACTCCTTCTCCTCCTCCTCCTCCTCCTACTCCCTTCCTCCCTCCCTCCCTCCCTCCTCTCCTCCCCTCTTCCTCCTCCTCCTCGTCCTCCTCCTCCTCCTCCTCCTCCTCCTCCTCCTCTTCCCCCTCCTCCTCCTCACTCCTCACTCCTTCTCCTTCCTCCCTCCTTCCCTCCCTCCTCTCCTCCTTCTCCTCCTCCTTCTCCTCCTGCTCCTCCTCCGCCTCCTCCTCCTCATCGGCGGCGCGCGGTCCCGGAGCTCTTTGAATGAATGGGTGCCGCCGCAACCCCCCAGTGACAAGCACTGGCCCCCATGGAAAAGCCGCTGCTAGCGCCCAGCTGAAGCGCCGAGCAACCAAACAACTGGCCGCCTCAGAGGGGGAGGAATTGCGCTGGCAAGGGACTGTGAAAAGGCTTACCCGGGAGAGTGCCGCCGACCAGAAGGTTCAGTAACCATCCCCGTCCTCCTCATCCTCCTCCTCCTCCAGCTCCTCCTCCTGCTCCTGCTCCTCCTCCTCCTCCTTCTCCTCCTCCTCCTCCTTCTCCTCCTCCCTCCCTCCCTCCCTCCCTCCCTCCCTTCCCTCCCTCCCTCCCTCCCCCTCCTCCTCCTCCCTCCCTCCCTCCCTTCCCTCCCTCCTTCGCTCCCTCCCTCCCTCCCTTCCTTTCTCCCTCTGGAGGCTGCACGCTCTCGGCAGTGGCATCCTGGTGGAGTCCTCCCGCGGACCTCCGCTCCGACCCGATCCGATGCTGCGCCACGACTCACGCTGCCCGCGTCCACTGGTCGGCGACTCCGAAGGGTGTGGCTTGCAAAGGGTGTGGCTTGCAGCCCGCACCCCGATATGGTTCTCCGCCGCGCCCCGAGGAGGCCCGACGAGGACAATGCCGTGCCCCCCAGGCCCCAACGGCGCCGATCGCAGACAACGCCCCGCGGTAACAACACCCTTTGCATTCCCCGAGCGAAGGCCGCCCGACCCGCCCGGGCGGACGCCACGAGCATCCCGCTGGGTACCGCGGCAGCGGGCGCCGGCATATCTGTCGGCGGCGAGCCGAGGAGGAGGAGGAGGAGGAGGAGGAGGAGGAGGAGGAGGAGGAGGAGGAGGAGGAGGAGGAGGAGGAGGAGGAGGGAGGAGGAGGGAGGAGGAGGAGGAGGAGGGAGTAGGAGGAGGAGGGGGAGGAGGAGGGAGGAGGAGGAGGAGGAGGAGGAGGAGGAGGAGGAGGAGGAGGAGGAGGAGGAGGAGGAGGAGGAGGAGGATGAGGAGAAGTAGGAGGAGGAAGATCGAGGATCGAGGATCGGGGTTCGAGGGAGCCCCAGACATCCGGCGTGTCGAACAACATCGGGACGGCAGCTTTTCAGTACTCTCGGTCTCTCGGGGCTCTCACAACTGGCCTCGGGGCCGTGAACAAAAACGACTCGGGACGAAGGACCGGTCCCGGGGAAGTGGTCGAGAGGTCGGGGGCCCCTGCCTGGAAACGATCGAGACGCTGGACGTCTGGGAGCGAGCCTGCTCAGAAAGCGGCGGGGCTTCGGAGGAGGCTCAGGGAGCTCCTCAGAAGGCCGGGGGGCTTCTGAGCCTTCTGAGAAGGCCAGGCCCCTCCCGCTTCCCCCCTGGGCGCGCCGCCGACATCTAGCTTGCGTCCGACGGGGCCGCCCAGTCCTAGGCCAGAGCAGCCCAACGGACACCCAGGCAGCGGGCGCTGGCGCTCTGGGCGAAGGCCGGCGCGTGGGCCGGGCGGGTCATCTCCGCCCTTTGCCGACCTGTGTGGCTGACTGAAAAGCGACGGGACGCCTAGACTAGAGGCCTCCAAATGGATCCGAGTAGATTGGGTCGGAAGATCTCGCCGCATCGCCGATACATCGGCGATGCATCGCGAATGCATCGGCCATGCACTCGCGACGTCGGCGGGGAGAAACTTGGGCCCCACATCGAGCTGCATCGCCGATGCATCGGCGATGCGGCGCGATCCTCCAGCCCTACCTACTCCGACCCCATCTAGGAGGCCAAGACAGACTTCCTCGTGTCGTGAAGAATCGCCACGGAACATTTTGGGACACTTCGGCCCGAGGCTGCCCTCACAGGCCCGGGATCGTGAACAAGAGCGACTCAGGATGACAAGCCAGCTCCGGGCAGTGGTGCAATAGATTTGGGGCAATTGTATTGCAAATGTATCGCGCAGTCGAATTGAATTACATTTTATTGTACTTAGTTTATTGCACGCGACAATCCAGCAATACATCTGCGCCCCGGAATGTATTGCATGCCCCAAATCTATTGCAGCCCACAAATCTATTGCACCAGATCTATTGCACAACCCCCGTGTCGCTGGACCCCCTTTTGGGTCAAACAGATCTCTGAGGGTCCATATTGTGAGACACTCACCACATCGGGGGTCCGGGTGTACACGCGTGTTGGTGGTCCCCAGTGCAGGCAGTCAGTCTCCTTACCCTGGGATGAAGAAGAGGAGGAGGATGAGGGGGAGGAGGAGGAGGAGGAGCAGGAGGAGGAGGAGCAGGAAGAGGAGGAGGAGGAAGAGGAGGAGGAAGAGGAGGAGGAGAAAGAAGAAGAATTTGCCATTACCTCTGCCACTTTTTTTGGGGGGGTGCCCCTGAAATTTCTGAAGGTCTCTGGCGCTTCTGGGGGGCTCCGGGAGGTCAGGAGGAGCCGTGGCACAGATCCCCAAGCGCCCCCCCCCTCCCTGCGACTGCAGTGGAGGAAGACGCCACCGGGTGCGCGTGGGTGACGGGTGGTTGGGGCTGAGGCCTCGTCCTCGACTGTCGGGGATCTACTGACCTGGGTCAATGCAAGCCCGGGTCACTCGGGCTTTCGCAGGATCCTGCAGGATCCTGCAGGACCTGCAGGATCCTGCGCGCTGGCCGGGTCAGTGCAGCCCTGGCCTTGCAGGATCCTGCAAGATCAGGCGCTCTGGCTGACCCCCGTTTGCATTGACCCCCGTCTCAAGGCTCCCGACGACTGCAGGGTGAATGGGACTCGTTTTTTTACCCCACCTTTGTGCACTGCATCTCTCCGCTCCGCCTCCAATCCCATCGTCGGCGATGCTCGTTCGATGCTGCACTGTGGGCAATTTGTCCCGAATAGCCCCCAGGGAGCGGAGCGCGTAGCCTCTGTCTCTATTTGTTAGAAGCTCGATCCAAATAGGTGACCCCTCGCCTTCAGCCCCCCCCTCTCCCCCCTGAGAGAGGGAGGGGGTGGGGGATCAGATGGACCTGGGGCCTCGACCTCGTCTGCAGCCCCTCCCGCCACCCCTCAGAGGGCTCTGCATCCTCGACCCTCCCCTGGACGAGGCCTCCTTCCCCTTCTCCTCTTCGGTGCCAGCGGGCGCCGCTCGAGTTGGCGTCGCATTGTCACTCTCTTTGCCTCGTGCCCGTCTTCAGCCAGCCTGCAACTATCACCTCCTCCTCCACCGCCTCCTCCATGACCTCCTCCTCCTCCTCCTCCTATTCCTCCTCCTCCTCCTCCTCCTCCTCCTCCTCCTCCTCCCCTTCCTTCCTCCCTCCCTCCCTCCTTCCCAGCGGGTGCCAAAGCTGCCGTCACCAGGCCCTCGTTGAGCTCCGCGCCGCAGGGACCCCCCCCAGCAGGAGGGCCACCCGCGACGAGGCCGCAGCGAAGGACCAGGGGGAAGGAGGGGGGAGAGAGGCCCGAGGACAGAGGGGAGGTGTCGAATTTCGAAATTTTATAGCGTTGGTCACCTTTCATCGACTTCTGGGAGCCTCTGGGGGGCCTCCAGACATCTTTGGGTACCACCGACGGAGAGAAGAACAGATGATGGCTTCGGGGGGGGAGGAACGTTTTTTCGTAACGTTCCACGGTGGCCTGGTGGTCTTCGTGGTTCGGTGGGAGGTCCAAGACGCATGATGGTGAAGATGGTGGTGATGATGATGGTGATGATGATGCTGATGATGATGATGATGATTCGGATGATGATGACGATTCTGCTGCTCCTGATGATGATGCTGGTGATTGTGATGGTGATGATGAGGATGCTGATGATGATTCTGATGATGATGCTGATGATGACGACGATTATGATGATGACGATGACGCTGATGATGTTGGTGATGGTGATGGTGATGGTGATGATGCTGCAGCAGCCGATGACGATACTCATGATGATGATGACGATGATAATGATGACGATGATGACAAACGACGGCGACGACGATGCGGATGACGACGATGATGATGACGCTGGCCAGGATGTTGATGACGAAGATGACGATGCTGATAATCATGATGATGCTGCTGTTGATGATGCTGACGATACACATGATGTTGGTTGAGACTGTGATTATGCTGTTGATGACAATGAGGAAGAATGATGAGGATATGGGGGGGATGAGGAGGAGGCCGAGGAAAAAGGAGGAAGGGAGAGAGATCAGTCAGCTTACGCTCTCTTTGTTCTCGTCCTCGTCATCGTCGTCGTCCTCCTCCTGCTCCCTCTCCTCCTTCGACTGAGGCCCTCGGTTCTCCGAGAGCGATGCGGCCGTCGCCCCCTCCTCCCCTTGGTCCTCCTCCTCCCCCTGCCCACGTTCCACTCGTCCTCGTCCACGTGTTCCCGTCCGCCTCGTCCACCCCATCGTCGCCATCGCTCTGGTCCTCTTCCTCCTCGTTCTCCTCCTCCTCCACCGTCTCCTTTGTCCCCGTCGTCGTCGGCCTCACCATCGTTCTCGTCCTGCCCGTTGCCTCCTCCTCCTTCTCCATCCCTCTTTCTCACACATAATGCTCCTCCCTGTCGCACCACCAGACGTGTCGTCTAGGCTGGCCGGCCTGGCGTGTCCTCCAAGTTTATGGTATCAAGTAGCGAGCCTTCGAACATTTTTGCGGATGGAGCACACACACACACCGTTTTTGAGCATGTGGTTATCGCCTTGGCGGCGTGCGCTCTCGTTTCAATATTTTCGCCACTACGCGGCTGCCAGGCGGGCCGGTTTCAACATGGGGCTCTCGCCTTTGCGCAGGGCGCCCTCGCCTGAAACATCTCCAACCTCTACACGGATGGATGGCCATTCGTCTTCAAAATGGGGCTCCCGCTTGCAAATTTATCGAGTTTTGCGACCCGACGTTCAACTCTGTGCAACCGTTATACGGATGAATGGTTGATCATTTTAATATTGGGCTCTCGCTGGATAGGTTTCATTGCAGTAGGAAAAACGAACTTTGAAGTTGTGCAACGCGTGCAAGGACGGAGAGCACACCCTTTGTAAACAGGAAGCAATCGCTGGACAGTCTCTTGAACTTCTTGGCCCTACATCTCTGCTTCCCTTGCGGCTCAAGAGCAAGGAAGGGCGGATCCTTGGAGCAACGGGGCCCGGTGCGAGCGGCAGGGCCACGGAGCGATGATCGCAGTGGAAGGCATCGTTTGTAGCGATTCGTGAGGAGAGGAAGGAGGAGGAGGAGGAGGAGGAGGAGGAGGAGGAGAAGGAGGAGGAGGAGGAGAAGGAGGATGGGGGAGGAGGAGGAGAGGGGGAGGAGGCGGGGAGGAGGAGGAGGAGGAGGGAGGAGGAGGCGGAGGATGGAGAGGAGGAGGAGGAGGAGAGAGGAGGAGGAGGAGGAGGAGGAGGAGGAGGAGGAGGAGGCGGAGGAGGAGGAGGGAGGAGGAGGAGGAGGAGAGGAGGAGGAGGAGGGAGGAGGAGGAGGAGGAGGAGGCGGAGGAGGAGCGCACCTGAGGTGGTTTTACTCTGGTCCTCCGCATCCTCCCCCACCGCTGCTCTTCGTAAGTGGCTCCTCCCTGTCGCACCACCAGACGTGTCCGCAGGCCGACCTGGGCGTTCCGCTTGAGACATCCCTGCCGTCTACTACCTGGAGGCCTGATGTTTCCAACAAGTGCACGGGTGGAAGTCTGTACGTTTTCCAAACGGAGCTCTTGCCACAACGCCACGCAAGTTTGTCATTTGAAGCGTGAAGTAGCTACAGGGGTGGAGAGCGGCACTTTTTCAAAATTCAAGAGGTGTCTCTCGCCTGGGACTTCCTGAACCAGGTATTAACACGAATGCCAAACTGTGCAGTAGTTCTGCGGAGGGAGGGTGCTTCCCTTTTCTGCATCCTGGATACATGTACTTTCGAGTATCTGCAACATCTGCATTGATGGATGGTGGCCCCTTCTCAAAAACGGGCTCTCGCGCGACATGTTCTCACATCAAATCCGAAGCGTTGAAGCATCTGCGCCTGATGCACGACTGGGGGGCGGTTCCTTTTCAACACGGGCCTCTCGCTGTAGCCTCGTTGAACTCTGTGACCTTGTCACATCCCTGACTCTTCGCTAAGAAGATGCAGTTTCTTTCCTGCGTGGGGCTCTCGCCTGAATGGCAAGGCCGTGTGTGCTCGTCTCTCAACGGGACACTTCTTGTCGCTACAGAAGAAGAGCTTGTAGTGACGTCCTGGGGAGGAACTTGGGACGGGACTGTGTACTGCAGTATGCGTGATCCATGTTGAGCTTGCTCTGGTCCTCCCCCTCCTGCTGCTGCTCCTCATCCTCCTGTCCTCAACTCCTCTCGTCCTCGTCTTTGTCCTCCTAGTCGTCCTTGATCCAGTCTGCATCCTGCACCTTGCCCCTCTCGTCCTCGTCCACCCCCCCTGCCTCCCACCTGCGCCCACTTTCCTTGGAACTACCCCCGTTTCGCCTGAGATCTCCTCACCGTTTGTGATCCCGCAGCTTGGCACGCGCAACGGCTGCACGGATGGAGGGCGGGCCGTTCTGTCTCAACATCGCGCGCGCTCGTCTTCACCACCTGCAGCTGTTCCACGGATGGGTGGCGGGCCGTTTTCAACCTGTCGCTCTCGCCCGAGCGCCGCGCTCATTCGTCTTCATGGGATGTGATTCTTTTTTTGGAAGTGTGGGCCTCGCCCTAACGCCCCGCGCATTCGCCTTAAACGCATGTAGCACTTTTAAAGTTTTGTATGGTTGCACTTCCCAACATGGTTTTCTGGCACGATTTCGGAGTGTCAGGCAGCAACCGTCACGTTGATTTTCTACTTTTCAGTCGCGGACACGGTATTCTGGAGCGATTTAGGACGGCCAGGACACAACAGTCACGTTGACCCGCGGCGTTGAATTCCAGGAATGGTGTATTGGTACTCAAGCAGTTGTCTTCTAATGGGCCGCCGCCCGCAACGAACATGAACACTTGGAGGGACCCATGAAGAGGGAACTCGGAGGAAGGGTGTTTTGCAACATCGTTGATGCGTCTTGTGTTTGCACAGGTCCTCGTCATCCTCCTCATCCCACTCCTCCCTGTACGCGCTCGGGCATGGCATGCTCCCTGCCGATCACGAGCAGAGAGAGAGAGAGCGATAGAGAGAGACAGAAAGAAAGAGAGAGAGAGAGAGAGAGCCACAAGAGAAGGCCAGGGACATCCTTGCAGAACGAGGCACGCCTTGCGCTCGGACGGGCCCAAACTTTACGCCTCACGTTCGTGCTCCTCTGCGGGATTCGCCATCCGCTCGGTCTCCGTCAGGCGCTCGGTCTCCACCTTCCGCTCGCGCGTCTCCGTGGGCGTCGCGAGGCGCTGCGCCTGCGCCCAGGCGTCGGGCCTCCACCCTGCTTGTGCGCGCGGCCTCCTCCACCTCCGTCCTGCGCTTTCGCCCTTCCGTGGGCTTCGCACGGCTCAGGGCCTGCGCTTGGCGCTCGGTCTGCGCCGTGCGCCCGTGCCGCGCCCCGCTCGTGCCGGTCTGCCTGGTGCCCGTTCCCGACCTGCGTTCCCGTCCAGCGGCCTCATCTGCTCGGCCAGCCCCGCGTGTCCAGCTCCTTCGAGTTAACCCCGTTCCCTTTCGAGAGACGAGGCAAAGCCTGCGTGTGCGGAACATCCCTGTCTCTTAGGATCGACTAACCCACGTCTAACTGCTGTTTACTTGCAACCGTTCTCCACTTCGGTCTTCAAAGTTCTCATTTGAATATGTGCTACTACCACTAAGATCTGCACTAGGAGCTGTTTCACCCAAGCTTACGCCAAAAGCTTCGTCACAAGCCCCCATGCGCTGCTCATCCCGGGCCGCATCCAAGAAGCTTTGAAAGTTCCGCCCTGGCGATTGCCACGACACTGGGAATTGGGCAAGACGCTCTAGAGCGCTGTGCACCGCAAGGACTTGCCAAAAGAGGGGGATGAGACGACGGATCCGTAATGGGGTCGAGCTTTTCTGCGCCTGCTTGGCCGTCGCTCTGGCATGTGATGATCATCGAGGGCTGCTTATGACATGCACTGCTCGTCGCGCATAAGCACCCCTACCTCGCCGAACAAGCTTCGAAATGTGCGATTCACATGGAAGTGCCAAGGCTTCACTTAGCCTGGACATTGAGCGCGACACAGCCATTATTATCCCTGGGCACTTGATGAGCAACCTCGCAAAGAACGCATCGCGCACGTGGGCCACAACCAAGGTCAACACGGGATCGTTGACGGTCTCCGCTGCCTCCTTCGCATTCGCCAGATGTGATGCCACGTGGGAAATGCCCTCCGCCTCATCCCGTCCTTCGCGGCAGCCCTGTCTGTCTAGTTCGTCCTTCGCGGCACGCTGGCCAATTAGCGTATCGGTCGCCCCGATCGCCAGCCCGCTGGAGCAGCACTTCTGCCTCGCCGCCAAGGAACAAGTGTTACCACGTGGCCGCTCCGAAAAACCTGTCTCGCTCCTGGACCCCTGCTGCCGACGGGGACGATAGCAGACGGAAACAGGCACGACAAGCTGTGGCGAACAGGAACCGTGCCTTGAGCCGACATGGCTGCGGACTGGTCGTCGTCGTCGCAGTCCTCCTCCTGCTCCTTCCTCCTCCTCCTTCTCCTCCTCCTCCTCCTCCTGCTCCTCCTCCTCCTCCTCCTCCTCTCCTCCCTCCTCCTCCTCCTCCTCCTCCTCCTCCTCCTCCTCCTCCTCCTCTCCATCCAGCTTCTCCAGCTTCTCCAGCTCCTCCTCCTCCTCCTCCGCCTCCTCCTCCTCCCCCTCCTCTCCTTCATCTTCCTCCTCCTCCTCCTCCTTCCCCCCTCGCCGTCGTCGTGATCGTCCTCCGCTCCCACTTCGACCCTCCCCCTCTTCCCCGCGCCGACCCCCGGGATGTTTCTGTTCGTCCGGCCCTGCCGACCAGCGGCGTCTTCGCTGGCGCCGGCTTCGTCGCCGGTGGCGCCGCGCTGCGCGGGGGGCTCTCGCGGAAGGGAGCTGGGGCTGGCGAGCGGAGGCAGAGAAGAATGGGGATGATCCGACGCAGGAGCTGCAGAGGTAGGAGGACGCCGCACATCCACCTACATCGATCCAGGCGGTGCTATTCCCTGGCCCACGATCGGTGGGTATGCCTTCATGGCTAAGCTAGGAAGGCGTATCGACCAGTCCTGGCCCCGATATGGGCCTGATGGATACTCGGCGTTCCCCAAGGGAAGCGAAAACCGAACTGTCTTAGGGCGTTTTATAAAGGACATCGCCCTGGAGAAATCGAAGGACTGGAACCTCGCCCTGGGCGAAGGCTGCAGGAGGGCTGGCGGACGTAAATCACTGGCGGCCCTGCCGGCGGAGGGTCGTCAGAATTTGGCGAACGTAAAGCACATTGCCCCATTATAAGGTGAGACCAACGCTTGGTTCAAAGTTTCTGGAGTCGGCCATTCGGGAATACCAATGCGTCCAAGGATCCTGTCCCCTGGGACAATAATGGTCCAGACATGAGGATAACACGGACTTCACGGGCGCGCAAGGGGAGATGAGGATGGGTCCACAGGTGATGAGGATGCGTCGCAACGGCGAGGAGTAACAGAGAAGCACGAGCAGGGATGACGCGAGGGCGATGTGACGGGCTGTGCTTGATCGCTGCTGAGGGAGGGCTGATGTAAGCCCTGCCCCTCGACAGAGCAAGGTTGCGACTTCGGAGCTGGACAAAACATTCCCTCCGCCCTCCTTCATCCTACCTGTCCGCTCCATTCCCCCTCCTGGCAACGCGTGGGCCCGAGGACGCTGGGGACTCAGGAACGATAAGGTCCAAGCGCCTTCCGTATCCGTATATCCAGTTCTTGTCCTTGGGCTTGAAGTCCCAGACGTCCTGCGAGCGCTAGGGCACTCCTCGTTCGCCCTCTTGCTCCATACCTTCATCCCCTTCTCCTTGCGCTCCCCGTCCACGTCTCCGGATCCGTCCCCGCTCACCTCCATTTACTCGATGTCCCTTCTCCTTTTCCTTCTCCTCCCGGCTTCTCCCCCTCGTCACCACTCCTCCCTGCTCCCCAGTCCTCCTCCTCCTGCTTGTCCTGCCCCCTTCTCCTGATTATATTGTTTTTCTTCTTCCTCCTCCTCCTCCTCCTCCTCCTCCTCCTCCTCCTCCTCCTCCTCCTCCTCCTCCTCCCCCCTGGGACGGCGCGAGGAAGGAGGAGGAGGAGGAGGAGGAGGAGGAGGAGGAGGAGGAGGAGGAGGAGGAGGAGGAGGAGGAGGAGGAGGAGGAGGAGGAGGAGGAGGAGGAGGAGGAGGAGGAGAGGAGGAGGAGGAGGAGGAGGAGGAGGAGGAGGAGGCGGAGGAGGAGGAGGAGGAGGAGGTGGGATGAGAAGACGGTGATGGTGCTGCTACTGCTGCTGGTGCTGCTGCTACTGCTGCTACTGCTTCTGCTGCTGCCGCTGCTGCTCCTGCTGCTGCTGACGAGGAGGAGGAGGAGGCGGGGGAGGAGGAGGAGGAGGAGGAGGCGGAGGCGGAGGCGGAGGAGGAGGAAGAGGAAGGAGAGGAGGAGGAGGCGGAGGAGGAGGAGGAGAAGGAAGAGGAGGAGGAGGTGGAGGAGGAGGAGGAGGGGGAGTAGGAATAGGAGTAGGAGGAGGAGGAAGAGGAGAAGGAGGAAGAGGACGAGGAGGAGAGAAGCGAGGAGTGACGAGGAGAAGGGGGATGAGGATGAGGAGAAGGATGGATGGAGGGAGGATGGGAGGAGGGAATGAGGGAAGATGGGAGAAGGAAGTAGGTCGGGATAGATGACGGATGATGATGATGAGGAGGGAGATGAGGAGGACGATGTGGTGGGTGAGGGGGGATGAAGGGATGGAGGGCGAGGGGCGAGGAAGGGAAGGACAGTGAGAGCAGGAGTGGGGGCCCCCTCCTCCCTCCTTCCTCCTTCTTCCGCTTGCTCGCCCCTGCTCCCTTTTGCTGTCCTGGGATTGGGCGAACACGTCCCCGGCGTCTAGCCGCTGGGGCAAGGCCACGGCGTCCCTACTCCTGCAGCACACGCGGACGTCTTCGTCGCCGCCGTCGTCTTTCTCGTTCGGATCCTCCCTGCTCGTGTCCCTCCTCGTGCTTCTCATGCTACTCATGCCCGTGCCGGAACCCCTCCTCTTCATCCTCAGCATCATCATCTCCCTTTTGCATCATGTTACCGAAGTCTGTTTTGTATGGGTGTCTGATTGTTTTCAAATGTGGTGTTGAGATTTTATGGTTTTCAATTGCATTGTTTTCCTATTGTTACCAAGTGCATGGATTTATTACTACGTTTCTCCGAGTCCATCCCGTCTCCGTGTTCCTTCCCGCCTGGGTTCACGACCACTTTTGATTTTTCCCAACCATCCTGTGGTGTTGGGTCCTCGTTTTGAAGAGACGGTGCCCCGCGTCTCCTTCCTCCTCCTCTCCTCCTCCGCCTCCTCTCCCCTCCTATCATCCTCATCGTCATCATCATCATCATCGTCATTCATCATCATCATCATTATCATCATCATCGTCATCAGCATCAACATCATGGCCGCCATCATAACCATCATCGTCATCATCACCATCATCGTCGTCATCACCATCATCGTTGTCCTCGTCGCCATCATCGCACGTTTCGTGGCCCCATACGGAGCTCCACCGAAGGTCCAAGTGGCGCAGCTCGCATGGCGCCACCGCCCCATTTTGGCACACCCCTCACACGTTTCGTGGCCCCATAGGGAGCTCCATCTACGGTCCAAGTGGCGCAGCTCGCATGGCGCCACCGCCCCATTTTGGCACACCCCTCACAGATTTCGTGGCCCCTCAGGGAGCTCCTTTTGGCACACCCCTCACACGTTTCGTGGCCCCATAGGGAGCTCCACCTAAGGTCCAGTGGCGCAGCTGGCGCAGCATGGCGCCACCGCCCCATTTTGGCACACCCCTCACACGTTTCGTGGCCCCATAGGGAGCTCCATTTACGGTCCAAGTGGCGCAGCTCGCATGGCGCCACCGCCCCATTTTGGCACACCCCTCACACGTTTCGTGGCCCCATAGGGAGCTCCATCTACGGTCCAAGTGGCGCAGCTCGCATGGCGCCACCGCCCCATTTTGGCACACCCCTCACAGATTTCGTGGCCCCTCAGGGAGCTCCTTTTGGCACACCCCTCACACGTTTCGTGGCCCCATAGGGAGCTCCACCTAAGGTCCACGTGGCGCAGCTCGCATGGCGCCACCGCCCCTTTTTGGCACACCCCTCACACGTTTCGTGGCCCCATAGGGAGCTCCATTTACGGTCCAAGTGGCGCAGCTCGCATGGCGCCACCGCCCCATTTTGGCACACCCCTCACAGATTTCGTGGCCCCTCAGGGAGCTCCACCTGAGGTCCAAGTGGCGCAGCTCGCATGGCGCCACCGCCCCTTTTTGGCACACCCCTCACACGTTTCGTGGCCCCTCAGGGAGCTGCACCTAAGGTCCCAGTGGTGCAGTTAGCCTTGCCCGCCCGCAATCAGCCGGCCGGCTAGCTCTCTGTGCTCCGCGCAGCGGACGACCTGCGCGCGTCGCTGGGACCCCTCCGCGGCGACCTGCGCGCGTCGCGGGGACTCCGCGCTGCTCTGCGCCCGCAGCTTTGGATTTTTGGAGCGCGCAGGCAAAGAGGGGGGGAAAAGAAGGGACGGAAGCGGGTGCGATCCCCGTGAGGGGCGTGCCGACATGGGCGTCGCGGCGCGCGGGCGCTGCCGTCGGGGTTCCCGCGGAAGCTGCCTGCGGCGGCCACGCCCAGTGTCACAAGTGTTCGGACAGGCATGCTCGAGCCATTCACATTCATATACATTTACACTAGGCGTAGCCAAGATCGCATTCATGCAAATATACTCACTCCCACGCAGACCCATTCACACTCAGACTCTCTCGCGCTCTGGCTCACCCGCGTTCATTCTTTCGTAATCTGACCTATCGTATTCCTTTGCGTTGTGTACCCCGCCATATTTCGGCATGCCCCTCATGCGGTTCGTGGCCCCATAGGGAGCGCCACCGAAGAAGGTACTCACAATTGCGGCACTCACAACTGCATATGGTTGGGTCTTTCGCCAGGATAATTGTTTTGTTTTGGCAGATTAACACGTTTTCTATGCTTTTTTTTTTTCTCTCTGTTTTTTGGTAGTATCACAGGTTTCGTTGAGCAACATCCAGGAGACCCATGACTGTTATGAAAACCAATCAGGAACAATGGGAACCAATAAACCTTGTGACCCTCCCAAGAACTAAAAATCCTCGCGTGAAGGAAAGGCCCTCCTCATCCTCCAACCCGCCTCTCCCTCTCCATCCTTCTTGAGGACGTGGGGGAAGGCGGAAATAAGCACACGCTATTTTGTTCCTCTCTCTCTCTCTTTTTCCTTTTTTCCCAATCAGAGCTTGCTTCTGTAGAGTCCTAGCGGATTCATATGGTTAGGTTAGGTTTGTCGCCGATTTTCGCTGCACGCCCGGGTGCCCGGGTGCCCGGGGGTGCCCGGGGCCCGGGTGCCCGGGGGGTGCCCGGGGTTGCCCGGGTGCCCCGGTGCCAGGGTGCCCAGGTGCCCGGGCGTGCCCGGGGGTGCCCGGGGGTGCCCGGGGGTGCCCCATAGCCCTATAGCCCTAAACCTTATAGCCCTATAGCCCAATAGCCCTATAGCCCTACAACTCTATAGCCCTATAGCTTTATAGCCCTATAGCTCAATAGCCCTATAGCCCCCTAGCCCTATAGCCCTGATTGGGTTTTTCTCCGGTATCATGCCTCTATTTTTTTTTTGCCTCTCTGTCTCTCTCCCTCTCTCTTTCTTTTCTCCCCAATCAGAGCTTGCCTCTGTAGAGTCCTAGCGGATTCATAAGGTTAGGTTAGGTTTGTCGCCGATTTTCGCTGCACGCCCGGGTGCCTGGGTGCCCGGGGGTGCCTGGTGCCGGGGTGCCCGGGGGGTGCCCGGGGTTGCCCGGGTGCCCCGGTGCCCGGGTGTCCAGGTGCCCGGGCGTGCCCGGGGGTGCCCGGGGGTGCCCCATAGCCCTATAGCCCTATAGCCCTAAACCTTATAGCCCTATAGCCCAATAGCCCTATAGCCCTATAGCTTTATAGCCCTATAGCTCAATAGCCCTATAGCCCCCTAGCCCTGTAGCCCTGATTGGGTTTTTCTCCGGTATCATGCCTCTATTTTTTTTTTTGTCTCTCTCTCTCTCTCCCTCTCTCTTGGGAGGTAAGGAAAGAAGAGAGACAGGGAGTGGAACGAGGTATGGATGAGGAGGGGGGCGGGGAGGAGGGAGGAGGGAGGGAGGATGAGTGAAGCAGTGGTACAAGGAGGGAAGAAACACCCAAACCTTTGGAGTCTAGATGCGAGCTGCAATGCACTCTCAAGCGTTGGTGTATTGGGAACGTGGTTCAGTCCTTGTCTGCTGTTTAGATATATATATATATATATATATATATATATATACATAAATGTATTCGTGCTGATGCAATGTCAGATCCCTCATTTGAAGATAGCAGGGAAGAGAGAGAGAGAGAGAGAGAGAGAGCGAGAAAGAGAGAGATAACGAGAAAGAGAGAGAGAGAGAGAGAGACAGAGAGCGAGAGAGAGAGGGGGGCGGAGGAGACGCACCTTCCCTTACGTTTTCTTATGGTACCGTTCAGAGAGAGAGAGAGAGAGAGAGAGAGAGAGAGAGAGAGAGAGAGAGAAAGAGGAAGCTATACATAACAACAATGAATACATATGATAATGATATGAGAGATACATATTCGTACTGTTGCCAACTCCAGGGGCGACGCAGAAGGAAGAGGAAGGGTGAACGAATAGGAGGAGGAGTCAGTTTGAGGACTTGGAAGAAGGAGGAAAGAAGAACGCTCTCTCTCTCTCTTTCTCTTTCCCTTCCTTTTTGTTTGTTCCTTCTCTCTCTCTCTCTCTCACTTTCTCTCATGATGTGTTCCCCGCCGGGGGGGGCTATCATATTATATTTATAGACCGATGTCAGCGATCATATCATTGCGCAGCTCGCGTTGGTATGATGAGGCGACTGCGATTGTATGCTCTCTTGGCGGAGCCCGGTCGAACACACGCAAATTCTGCGAGTGACTGTTGGGTCCCGAACCAAGAATTGGTACCAACGTGCACGATGAATCTCACCAGCCCTTTGGGCATAGGTGGTCTAACCAGTTCTTTCCCCATCAACAAACTATTCCCTTCGGGGAAGGGTACCACCCCTCCTGAGGGAAGGGTACCCTCCCCCTCCCCTCCCTGAGTTTTTTTTGGGCACGGGGCCGAGATGTGTCGGAGCTTCCTTTTTCGCACAAGGAGGGGACCTCCGATGCTCCAAGATGGCCTCCAATGCGGCTCAAGATAGCCGAAGATGGTTCAATATAGCTTCTGACATACCTCCAAGAGGCCCGCATGGGGCCACTAAACGCTTCAACGTGCTCTCGGAGCCCCCTCATGACCCCTGCACGAGGCCCACATCCTTCAAACACCTGCAAGAAATCAATGACTTCTGCAGTCTCGCCCTTTCGCTTCCGATGCTGTTTTGAGGCCTCTAGATTGCCCCACGCGGTTTGCCTCCTCCTCCTCCTCCCTCCTCGTTCCCCTCGCCCTTCGCGGGACCCAGGGATGGCCCGAAGAGGCCCTCCAAGGCCCTTCCCTGCTCCCAAAGGTCTCTCTGTTCATCCTGGTGGACCGCTTTGTTTCAAACGTGTGTCTCTTCGTCCCTTTTCCCGTCAATGAACGGGTTGGTGGGGATACTTTTTTGGTTCGCGGCTCCAAGGTGAGGGACTTGGAGCGGGTCAACGTCCGGGGCGCGGTACGAAGATAATTGGCCGCAGTGGCGTATGCACGTGCCAGGGACAAAATGACCCTCATTGAGACGCATACGGCGTCGGCAGGTGACCGGCTCAGACATCCCGGCAGGTGGGGACGCAGAGTCGCGGCGACCGGCGGCGGAACGGGGGGGAGAAGTCGCCTTTTCGGCGCCAAGCTCCAGCCGAACCACAAACGGAGGCGAGGCCAGGACGGACGGCGCGGCATTGTAAGCTGCAGGCAGAACGAGGGTCCGAATGGCCACTGGCCAAGCGAAGCCAGCGAGCGTGCACACAGAGACGGGCTGCCCAAGACCACGGCAGAGGGGAGGGGGAGGGAGCAAAAGCGAGCGACAACCAAAGGCTCACTGCAGCACAACGAATAGACGATGGTGCGGCCAAAAAGGGCCTGACTCATCATGACTCACTGATGCTGAGGTGTAGCTGAAACCCGTCAGAGCGCCATCCAGTTGAGGAAGACCACTGGTGTGCGTTCACGAGGCTGAGCCACCTCCAGCCAGGGCCAGTGCGTGCACATCGTATCCGACTCTCGCGGTTCGGGGGCAAAACGATGCAATGTGCTGACGGGGGCTGGTAGCAGACTGTTCTGCTAGGGGAGCGACCACGAACTGCAGAAGGCTGAACCACTCGATGCAGGGCCACTCCCTGGCGAAGCCAGACACCGGATGTCACCGAATGTATGGCTGACGGCCGCACCCAATCCACACCTGTCACGCAGCTCGGGTGGATGCCGAGTACACCGACGCCAGTGGGGAGCCGACGGCTGGTGGCTCCCGAGCTGCTGGGCCGTAACGCTCGTAGGCGGCGTGCTGACGGCGGGCCAAGACGTCCTTGTAATAGAGCCATGACCGTGTCAGCGACGAACCAGGGCGAAACACAGGCAGGAGGGGGGCGCAGCCAGCCGCTGAGCACCGGTGTCAATGAGGGATACGCGAAGCGAAGCGTGATGAATGGTAAGCTCGAGACAGGAGGCCAGCACCCTCCACCTTTCAAGTAATTCAATATGAATGAGAGATCGGTCGTGCTCGCTCTCATTGCCAGCCCGTCCAGAACATAGAGATCCTGGCCATGGTACAGAACACCACAGGTCGAACATCGAGATCACTAACGAATGGCTCCATGGGTAGCAACGGGTCGTTTTGTATAGACACGAAACTGACCCTTGTTCACCGCTGAAATGCTGGAAGGGGCCAAACGCTCCCACACGACTTGACGGCCATGCGGGCTGCGGCGCAGCGCTGTGCCACCCCGCGCCGCTGCGAGAGAGAACAGCTCCCAAGTGACGTGTTTTCGCCGTGGGAGCTCCCTGGAACAGGGGCGCGTGTGGCTCTCCAACGAAACATGGTGAAACTGTTGGGCGCCCGCCCCCACGAAGTGGAAGCAGTACTCCTGCTTCGTCTGCTTCAGCTCGAGCCCAGCGAGGAGGAGGCGGAGATGGAGGAGGAGGAGGAGGTGATTCTTCTCGATCCCATACTCACCCAATTCGGCGTTGCGCAATCGTCGGCATGCCCAACTCCTCAATGATACCAGTGAAGCCCATGTAACCGAGAGCGAGGATGAACATCAACACATCGTCCGCATATAATATTTGAGCAGACCCAAGCCGGCAAGTAACCCCTCCCAAGACGCGGCCAACTCGTTGGCGAGAGAGCCCGCCGATTGTAATCGGTACAGGGTGAACATAAAGAGAACGCCAGAATATGGTACAACATAATGTTATGACAGCGAGGATGAGGATATGGATGGAAAAAAGAAGGACGGGTAACATGAGGATGAGGAAAAGGAGGTGGGTGGAGGGATGTCCAAGACGAAAACACCACTCCGCGCTGCGCCCATGGTCAAATTGCACCGAATGCGGCAGCATAATGCTGTCCTCGTGGCAGAGACTTAGCGCATCGGGTAAGACAGGAGCCTTGTCGCCAATGACAAGCTGCCCCGCCTGCAACCCCCCCTTCGCAACCTCTCCCGTTACTGCGGGGGCTGAGATGGCATTTTTCACCAGATGTTACGGTTTTTAGCCGCACGCTTGACCAACCAGCAGCAACGCCAGCTGGGGGACAACCGAGGGGCATGGAGCAAATGGGGTCCACCCAAGCATCAACTGAGCTCGATGCTCGAATCCGAGGATCCCTGCCCAGGAGCAGGCACCAGGCCCCATGGGACTTCCCTCCGTGCCACATGGCACCGCCACTCCGCGGAAATGCAATAACCCTGGCGCACCTGACCCTACTGCAGTGGGCCACAGTTCAGACCACACTGTGAGCGGATACCAAGGAATCGAGTTCCAACCAAGCGTGGGCCAACGACCCCGAGGGATTTCCATGTCACACGACACCGCCCCGCCCAGACCACGGGGAAAGATGGCTGGCTCTCTCGCCCCCCGCACGCTTCGCCTCAGTCCTTGTCATTGTGCCCATCGCCAGACGAAAAGACACCATGAGACTGGATGCTGTGCCCCCGCCGGAGGGGTGTGGGGTAGGGGTGTGGGAGAGGGGGGAGGAGGAGGAGGAGGAGGAGGAGGAGGAGGAGGAGGAGGAGGAGGAGGAGGAGGAGGAGGAGGAAGAGGAGGAGGAGAGAGGAGGGCAGGAGGAGGAGGAGGAGGAGGAGGAGGAGGGAAGGGAGGAGGAGGAGGAGGAGGAGGAGGAGGAGAAGCAAGAATAAGAGGGCGGCTGGACGTCAGAAGGGGGCGGTCGCAACTCAGCCAGAGGTGCTTTCAACACCGCGCGGCTTGACGACGAATCGCGACCGAAACCGCGTTAAAGATTTACCGTCCGCTGGCATCCGTCCTCAGGACCTTCCCAGAAACGATCTGTGTATGTAATCACTACTCACGTCTATCGCACCTCCCTCTCTAGGTCCTCTGACTTCGCGCCGCGCGACGCGTGTTATCTTCGCGCTTTCTCGCCGCCCTGGGGAAAAGAACCCTCTCTGGCCGAGGCCACCATGCACGAGGAAAGATTGTGTTCGTGCCCCCGCGGGAGCCCTCCGCTAAGGCTAGATCTTGATCACCCGATTCCCTGCCAAGATCCTGACCTACCTATGGTCCAGCCTTGTGCGTGAAGCCTCGTGCGTGCGCGGGGGGGTAGGAAGTCAGACCAGCTCCCCAGGACCTGCTCGAGATGCCAGCAGGCGAGGGGGTGACTCAATGATTGGCGCAACTGTAGTCTGTGGCGCCTCCTTCTCCTGCTTCCTTTCGTAATCGTGACTGCCCCGCTCGTCTCCAGATCCACAACTTGCGCTGGAGGGCATCGTCGCACTCCGGGGCGACGGAGGCGTGCAAGCGGAACCGCTGCTTCTGGGAGCCGCTTTTTGCTCTGCAGCGCAAGCAGACGTGGCCTGGGATGCAGCACAGCCTCGAGAGCCGACGCCGCAGAACATACAAGCGCCGGGAGCAAAATCGCACCCAGAGCTCTCGGTTCCCCATCTGAGGACGACCATCGTGTTGGGAGGAGGGGGTCGAGAAGATACAGGGAACGACTGTGTCATAAGCACATTCAACAGGCGCGATAGGACGGATGGTCTGATTATTTCTCCCAGCCCCATTCGCCCAACCAGATAATTGTCTCTCTGGGTACAGTAGGGGCTCGACCACAAGAAGCCTTCCACAAGAAACCCAACCCTGAGACCCCAAGGCATCCACTGATTAGTGGTGTGGGCACGTCACGCTTTCCATCGCAAAACCGTCGAAACCCAAGAAACCCAGGGCAACCTGGAGGCAAGCAAGGTGTTTCTTGATAGGTATGTGTTTCCACTGTAAGCGCATTCGACAGACGTGATCAGACGGATGGTCTGATTACGTCTCTCAGCCCCATCCGCCCGACCCGATAATTGTCTCGCTGGGCAGAACCTCAGAGCGCCGTGGACCAAGTCACGCCAGGAGCTCTCGATCCCCTGTCTCTCTGTGGCGCCCCTGTCGTGTCCACAGATCCCCGACGTCATGATTTTTTCACACAGTCAAACCGTATCATAAGGATGCGCGGTAAGGATGCAAGGCCCTTTCCGAACGAGGTTGGCCAGCGAGAATCGCTAAGGATGGGCCGAAGAGGTAAGGATGCAAGGGTATCCTTGGGAAGGTTGCCCATCCGGGTTGACTGTAACGTCGACCCCCAGAGGTTTCGACCCGTTCCACAGAACCGATTTTTCATCCCGAGTCGTTTTTTGACAGTCCCGAGGCCTTGCAAGGGCCACCAGAGTCTGAAAATAGCGAAAAACCCTCCGTCGTGATTCTTTGTCGAGGGGGTGTGGTTCTGGTTCTGG